CGCCGTCTCCCCCGCAGGTTGGGCTGCTGCAACCTCACGGCTGCTGGCTGCAAGGACCTCGCCGCCGTGCTGGGCACCGTGCCCAGCCTGGTGCAGCTGGACCTGAGTGACAACCCCTTGGAGGACAGCGGCGTGCGGGAGCTGTGCGGGGCGCTAGCGGGACCCGGCTGCAGCGTGCAAAAGCTCTGGTATGGGGCGTCGGGCTGGCGGGTCCTGCTTTGCGGCTGTTCCCAGCAGATGCTTTTAGGGTGTGAGCGAGGGCAGGGGTGGCCCTGTGGCTGGGGGTGCTGCTGGATCCTGCCTGCCGGCTGCAGGCGCTGAGGTGAGGGGCTGCCGGGGGGCATCGCTGGGTGGGCACCAAGAGCCTCTGCAAGCGGGATGTCTGCAAGTCAAAAATAGAAAGCAATTACTGTCCAGCGCTCGGAGGACGTAACGCGCTCCTGGGCTAGACAGCACTGTGTAGGGCTGGCTGCTCTCCTAAGCCCCTCAGAACAAAGGTGATGTGCCACCTTTCACCAGAGCCACCACCGCAACAGCTCTGGTTTTCCCATCTGCTTTTAAACTTGAGCTTTTTACCCACTTTTCCTCTGGAGCTACGGACGAGCCCCATCTCAGCCATCCTACGAGCACAGGTAGCGGATAGCCAGGCAGGAGAACAGGCTGCAGAGAGGCTGTGCAGCAAGGGTGGTAAAACTGGAGTCAGTGGCATTTCCCAGGGCTCAGGCAACATCTCCCCACCCGCACAGACCCCCTGGCAAAAAGGGTCTGGGCTTGGCTGGCGGAGGTACGGAAGGCAGGGTAGCTAACTGGGGGTGGTGAGCAGCACCTTTGCCTTGAACAGTGTTGGAGCCAGAGGAGGGAGATGGGTGATGCAGCCCTTCAGTCTGGCAGAGGTTTTAAGCTCCTGAGCTCCAGTAGTGATGCTGAGCCGAGGGGAGGGGGCTGCAGTGCCCCTGGATGGGAGATGTGCCTCTGCTGGGGCAGATGGCAGCTTCTAGGTCCTGCAGGACCTGAGAAACCCCTCGCCACTAGCCAGTGCCTTCAGGGGCCTCTGGGTGCTGCCCACACCTGTAACTACAGGAGTCAAAGAGGACAAACCTACAAGATTTGGGAGGAAATATAAAGCGAGGTACCTTGAGAGCGGGGACAGTTTCTCTCTCTTGAGATGTTCTCCTCCCCATCAGCCCCGGGGCAAAGGTGCAGTCAGCGTGGACGGGGGCTGTGGGCACTGTCCCTGCGTTTCAGCGGGCAGCCGGGCTGATGATGATGGCCGTGCCGCCGCCTGTCCCCCGCGCAGGCTGTGGCAGTGCTGCCTGACGGAGGTGAGCTGCGGGGCTCTCGCCGCGGTGCTCCCCGCCAGCCCCAGCCTGACGGAGCTGCACTTGGGCGACAACGAGCTGGGGGACGGAGGCGTGCGGCGGCTGAGCGAGGGCCTGCGGGATCCTGCCTGCCGGCTGCAGGCGCTGAGGTGAGGGGCTGCCGGGGGTTCCCGGGGCTGGGAGGATGCTCTCTGCAGGGACCATCTGCCGCTCACCTGTGCTGCCCTGATGAGTCTCCCTACAGCCGGTCACCATCCCTCTCCGGGGCACTTTGAACATCTTGGGGTGGGTGCCAAGAGCTTCGATAGGCAGGGTGCTAACAGCTTAAAACTATAAAATTATTTATTTATTGCCTAGATGAGATTATTTATTATCACCCAGATAAGATAACTAGGATTTAAAGCTCTCCCAGGCGAAGCAGCCGTACGCTCACTGCCCCAGCTGCAGCTATTCCATCCGCCAGCACATTTCAGGTGCATGTACATGGACGTTTGCTCCTTAAAGACCAGCCCCATCGTATTTTGTGGTTGTGAGAAGTAATCATGGGGTATCCCAGTCTTGCCCATGCCCATCTGAAGGGATGTTCCCCATCCTGGGGAGATTACATCCAGCCTCAGAGACCTCACAAGAAGCCTGGAGCAAGGCTTTGGAGCAAGTCCCCCCCCGGAAGCTATTTCCAGGCATCCAGAGGACCTGGGCCGGGCGGGTTGGCAGCACAGGCAAGGTTTCTGGCTGTGAAGGACTGTGCATGAAATGTCCACGTGTCTCCTTTCTCCAAACGCCTCCCCGGCAGCCTGTGGCACTGCCAACTCACTGACGCCTGCTGCGAGGACCTCTGCGCTGTGCTCAGCGCCAGCCGGAGCTTGGAGCATCTGGACCTGAGCAAGAACGACCTGGGAGACGGCGGGGCACAGCTGCTGTGCGAGGCGCTCGGGCATCCCTCCTGCTTCTTGCAGAGGCTGTGGTAAGGGACTTTCAGCTCCTCTGGCCACGGGGCTGCTCCCCATGGGCGCTGGGACAGACCAAATGTGACGTGAGCCTCCCCACGCCGGGGCTCCCAGCCTGCCCTACGAGGTGGGAGAGTGTTTTCTGTGAAGCTACAGCTGCTCCAGGCGCCCTTCTCCAAAGGCGTCTCGGGACGGCGGGGTGCTGGGCAGCTCGGTCTGGAGAGTGCCGGAGCTGGCGCTGCCTCCTGCCAGCTAGCAGGCAGCTGCCCTGCCATCCCCCCGCAGCTCTACCAGCTGCTCACTTCTGGAATTAGTGTGATTAGACCTACTGCCTTCCTAAAGCGGTGGGTAATGTCTCGGGACATGCTGCTAATGCACAAAACTGGGGCGGGGGACGTGTTTCATCAGCCCTGAAGCAGGCAGCAGAGATGGTTGCTCCGTGTGACGGCACGAGGCTGGGCCCGCCGACGCCCACTCC